CTCCCCCTAAAATTGGAAACTCAAAAGCAAATGAATAACACAAGAATAATAAGTTCGTTTTATTGAGTCATGCCTGGCCCCAGGGTGGGGCAGGCGCACAGGCCTATGGCTGAAAATGGGCCTGCTCCACGGGGCAGCTTCGCGGCTCCTCACATTGAAGGCAGCGTTTTTTTGCGTTAACACCAACATCCAAATTTAGGGAAGGTTTTCATACTGGGATCCAAGTCCTTCTTTTTTTGGATGAGGTGCCAAATAGGACCAAATCAGTGAGCATGCTAATTCATTTTCTTAAAAGATTGTCAAGACCACTGTGAGTCAACATCGCACTGAACGGGCGCACCTGACAGCATTTATTTTCTACTCAAGGAATGCTCACTGGTTGTTTCTTCCTGAGTTTTGAAACAATCATCTGGCCTCGTGTGATCTGCTGCACAACCCAAACTGAACCAGATTACTGGACTTTTTCGCCCATTGGTATGGGTTAGATTAATGACCCAAATGAGCCATTATTAAGAGTTCAATCTTAATTTAATCCAATGATCAAACCTTGAAAATTCAGCCTTCTGTATCTCGCTGTCAGTCCGCCTCGACCAACATATTCATGCCTGACGTATCATCCATAACCAATTAAAGATGAAATCCCCAATCACCAGCTTTTCCTGTGATTGAAATTTTGTGATGAGCTGCAAACTAATGAATTATATTTTAATTAAAAGCTCCCACTGATTCAACGTATTTTTATTTTAACAACAGATCAAGTAGTGTTGTAATGTTGACAGAAATGCTCAATAGTCGACAGAACAAGCAATTGATCATTCCAGTTCCCTCTCAGCTCCGTGGAGACGTTTTTATATCTTTAAGCCTCAATTGTTTTGGCTTTGATTGGCAAGGATCTTTCATTCATGGTTAGCTATAGAAATGTCAAACAAAAAATCCCAATTGTCTTTTCCAGTACTATGAATACTTTCATGGCATCTGCTTAACGCTTTCTGTTTCAAAGTAACAATAATCCAGTTCTGCCTTCGTGATACAGTGAGGCAACCTCTATTCCTCCCTTTTGGATTAAACCAGGTAAAAGAGCTGCCTTTGTTTATTCCATTCACAGGAAAAGCCTTTCGCCTAAAGCCTTAATATAAAATGTCATTACCAAATGTCCACCAAGCGAATTACTTAAAAAAATATGTAGGGCTAGCCATTGGCTTACAACTCCAATAAACCCATCTTTACTTCCCGCTTTGATGACCCAAATTTTCTTGTTTCAATCTTTTGACGTCGTTGCAGTGAAAGCTGATCTTGAAAGATGAATGGTGGAAAGTTCGTGGACAAGATGAGGTGCTTCAGGAAATCGATCATTGTTCCCCTTCCTCGGCTTCTCCTCCATCAACCTTTCCTGCTCCTTTTTCAAAACTT